TCTCTTCTCCCTTTTTTGTTAAATGCCTGATCTTTCTACTGTGATATTCATTACTCATACTGAGCCAACATTGAAGCAATGACCAATGCTTCTCAGACCCATTTCCCCAAATCGCCAACTTCCATTTAGTCTTTACATCGAAGCGGTGGCTTTCTCTCGTGTAACCAGTGCCCCCACTAAACCGTTGCTCCAGAATGATGGATGAGCTCTCGGCATGATCGGGATGATTCGTGCGAAAAAAATGACTCTCGCAAATGAGCGATCCGGATTCGTTTCCCTCAGCCCATCTTCCGGGGGCAAGTGTTCGCTGAATTACATACAGTGTTTGCAACATTGATCGTCAAGCCGGGATAGAAATGTGCACCTCTGTGCTCCCTTGTGAGTATCAAAGGAATATTCACACAAGTTATTTCACGTGCTCTTACTCGAGAATAAAATTTTCCTCGTGCTTCATCTGACACAGATTATAATAGCAAATTAGGAAGATTTGCATTGATTTTCTTACAGATTTCCATAGATTTTGTTTTCCGTTGGGAAATTGCTAGAGGTACACATTTTACCCCCTGCTAATATGGTGTTTTTCCTGTTCACAAAGTAGAACTTCATCGATAGTGCTTGAGAGTAATGGAGGGTTGGATTTAGTTTCATTGCGGGGGAAATCGTCATGTATAGAGTAAATGAAACATGAAATGAAATGCTAGGAAGCACTGGATAGCTGTTCCAACCTGGTTGGGTCTCATCAGCATTGCGAATCCAGTGACCCAAGAGGGAGAAATTTCCAACTGAGTCATAACCCCGGAGGCAGGTGTTGAAATGAGCGATACCCGTAAAAAGCTCGCAAAGACGGGTTGTATTATATCGTGCAAATGGAAATTGAAAAACTGTCTGATCACCTGCTTGGTGGTCGAGTGGGTAGCAAGCTTATGTTCTGCCCGTCGGTTCTCCGGTTTGATCCCCAGTTGGATCGCTGGATTCGTTCACTGCTAATGAGATCCAACCGGGTTGAAACAGCTGTCCAGTAGTGTTTCCTAGCTTTTCAGGTCACGTTTCAGTTGTTCTATGCAAGATGAATTCCTTCTGTCATTATTATTATTATTATTATTATTATTATTATTATTATTATTATTATATTTCACACTTGTCTGAGGAAAGACCGTGTGCTAGGCAAATCATGGTACCATAATCTTTATAAAAAAGAAAAACGTTCCATGATTTGCATGTGGGCTGAATACTGTCAGGTTGACCAGGCCAACGTAGGTGAATTTTCTTGAGGAATCCACAACCGGAGCCTTCGACTAACAAAAGCCTGATCCGCAAGACAGAGGGGCGGTGTGTAAAACCCATAGTCCTTTGAGAGCCGGTGTCCAGTGCAACGGATCATAGGCCCTTTGGACGGGGTCAAACGTCTAAGGTAACCAATACACCTCGATGCCCAGTTGAGCCGGTAACCGTTTCCACAAGCATAAAGGTGTGGATGTAGTTCGTACACCTCTTCTTGGTTGGTGTGGGATCAGGGTTTTTGGCCAACTCCCCTAGGTGAACTGCCAGTGTACCACTAACCCGGTTAAAGCCCCGTTGATGTGGGCTTTTTGTCCTCTCACTTTGGTGGTAAAACACTTCATCACAAGAATGAAGTGAGTCGGACATCCTCAGCAGAGGCCATTTGATACGCTTGGTCGTATGGGAGCATGTTGCGAAGTGCAAGAGCAGGGTGACCAGCCGCGACCCTAGACACCCACCCTCGACCATACTGTGAGAATGAATTAAATCCTTCATTTCACTCATGCAGCAAGTAGTCAGATTGTGAAAGTTTTCGATCTATATCATTCTGCTCCATACCGCAGAAGATTGGAGAAAAACATTTTTCATGTGTGAGGACAAGTTTGTGGAGATATTTGTGGTCTTTTGGCTAGAACAAACAAAACAAAGCACTGTGCAGTAAATCAAACCTCCCTTGAGACGGAAGTAAGAACAGAAGTGTGATTCATGGGTTTAAGTCCATTCAGTCAATAATCAATGTATCTGATTGTGTGTTTGCAAATGTAGAAAAAGTACTGAAAAGTTGTGTGTGCATGTATTCTGTACACAAGTTTACCACCAAACAGATTAGGGTATTTATGGGTTACATATCGCTGAAAACACTAGGAAGTGGTGTGATTTTCGCGAACTGTACCTTTTCAACTCACCGCAGAACACGATGATGAAGGTGCAAATAGAAACCAGCAGAAGGCTATTCGAATTGTTGTTTGGACTAGTACTCCGTTTCCGATCGTCGAGAATGTGATTTCGTGTAGATGTACGAAAGTATAGTAAATCCTCCGATGACTATTCTGTCATTAGGGATTCGTCGTCGATACACACATGCGCACACCGACAGAGCGAGATAGAGAGAGGTTTAACCGCTGTCGCTTCGACCGCCGGTTGTCTTTCTCGGTCCCCAATCACTGCACTTGGTCATCCGCCAGTCAGTCTCAGTCTCTATCCTGTGTCTACAGTCTGACCGTCAATTAAGTGGTTTACACGACAATGACCTCAACTGACCGTACTGCGGGGGACATTCCACGAATACACTATATAGATAATCTGTGTATACATGAAGTACCTCATTTCGTGCAACACGACGGCAGCCACACTGTGCAACGGCAGAGGAAAGTAGTGGTGATTATCAAGAGCGCACGAGCTCTTGTGTCCCCCAAGCCGCAGTCTTAACGTTTTCCTCACCNTTCTCTCGGATCTTATCGATTCTAATGGTTGGGGAAACGATTAGACTTTTAAGGTCAGAAGCGAAATCTGTCTTCTGATAACGCAGATCTGGGGAACCGTATCAGTGTGACCTCGTTTCCCTCAACTTCAATTTTTACTCAGGTCACAATACAGTACTACCAACCCACCCACCCCCCGTCAGTTGTTCCAACAGCAGCAGTAGCAGCAGCTGTGATTGAAAATAACGTTGATCGGATAGATCACTGGGACGCTTCAAATCGAAACAGTGGCAACAACAGTGACTGCACAATTTTTCCTGAAGTGTGGGTTCCCCTTTTTTCTTCAAAATCAATCATTCACACGTTATTTCAGGGTGTTTTCCTGTACGGGGACCATCGTTCTTTGTTCTGGTGCTTTCAGTACAAACAGGCCAGGCTCCAGTTCGTCAGTCTGATCGGTGCAATCGTGTGACGTACACCACGTCAGGAGAATAAGGACGCTTCCCGGTGCATTGCTTCAGTTTTTCTGTCCACTATCATAATGTTCACTGAATCCGGGCCCATCCACTCATCCACCTACTAGCCACCGTGTGCACCCAAGGCACTCACACAGACACTCAAGTGTCAGGTAAAATCGGGTTTCACGCTAGGCATGTGCTGATATGCGCACCTATTCGTTTGATACAGGCATACATATACACACAAAAAGAAGAAGTGAACGATAATGACAGAACCCTATTCACATATCACAACTGTCACTATTTATACGAAACACTTGGGGAGATTTTATGTACCTGATCTATAGAGGCATGAGAAAACCACAAACCGGACTGTGTGGTGTGGTGATTTGCACTGTAGCATACAGGACCGGCCCCAGTTCTGAATCCACTCGAAATACACTGGCAGATTGATCTCGGACCACGCAAACCGAGTTCTAATACAATCAGCATCTTCACAAAAGGCCGCACAATCCCTGGTCACTCACTGACGATCTCAATACACAGGTATGACACAAAGTCGGTTCTCCGTGAACGGGGGGCTTTCAAGCAACCTGCAAGACAGGAAAAATACAAAAAATCAGCCATGAACCAAAAGGTCCAGTGAGACATGCACACGACTCACAAATAATGGCTGCACCCACGTCTTCACTATACACTCCCCTCCACGGAAGAACATTGTCTTCAGTGTTTCGTACCACTCGATCACTCTGAGAACGCAACACCGGGCTCCGGAACACTGAGGACAGTGTTCTTTCCAGGGGAGCGATAGTGTAATGACCTTGGCAACTTGCCATTCCGTTTGAGTGTGAGTTGTGTTCATGTCTCACTGGACCTTTTGGTTCATAGTGTCTGTATTTTCCTCTCTTCCAGATTGTCAGTCACACCCCTCTCCACGAAGAACATTCGGTCTGACAACGATGCCAGATCACACCTGGACACGGCCAACTTGTGGTTGTGTTAGTGTATCCGTTTACGGGGGACATTCTACCACACACACACACACGAGCCAAGCATCTCACAGCGCCTATCCGAGACCAAATGCAGCAGCCAATTTAAGGCATTTAAGGTGGTTATGATTACGGTTACTCACAGAATGTAAATGTGTCAAAACGAAGGAGAGCTCGGGTACTCCCAATAACATAAAATCCAAACACGTGATACATCCATCACCTAACCGATATTCGGGTTGAGAGCAGAGTGAGCAAAATGGTTGCCGGTTCAATTATTTGGTTTCCATAGTCCAACTCTCTCTCTCTCTGGTTCTGTCTCTTACTGTAGAGAATTATTGTATAAGGAGGGCACAAACTGTGAGAAACAGCTGTCTTGGTACGATGAAAAGCATTGACAATTCTATACATGTTGGTTGAGGTTAGACTCAAACATAATTTGAATACATCAGCAACTGTTTTCAGTAATTCTTCGTTTTAGGATGCTGAGGCCATAACACTCGAGCCGTTTTGGTACCGGGTGTTGGAACAGAACAGGGCAAACAAATGACTTCTCCCCTTTTATCTAAGCTTTATTAATATGATTCATCAGTTTCACGAGAATGTGATCGATTAACAGTTAATCACTTGAATCTGATGATCCGAGAAGTATGGTTTAGAGGAAGTTACTGGCTATAGCTACTAGACCGAGAAGACCAGAGCAATCGATAAGCACGTGATTCCAATCATGGTTAAGATGACTTGGTATTTGAGGCGAGGAGATATTTCAAATGAATGAACAAATTGAATTTGTCCATGCGTTCACTGACAACCGCTGATATGAACAGCTGCCCGGAATTTTATCCACTCTCATGGCTAAAGTTAGTTAGATGCACGGATTTAATTTATCGATATACCAAGAACTTTGTTTTCGGAACATTTAGTAACGAAATGCATTTCACAAAGATGTAAACACTTGCGGAGGAACATAAATATTTCTACGGTTTGGAAACGTTGATAGAATGAGCTATATTGGGTCCGTTTAGAGTCGTGCGCTGTGTCGCGTTTTGGTAGCTTTTTTTCTCGTACTAATCATGGGGAAAGTGGTTGGCATACGAAGTAATGATTACTGAGGCTTAACTTTATTAGAACATCCTTTTCAAGTGTTCATGCTACAGTTGGAATTTAACAGGCATCCTCTCATATGATTTGAAATCCACATTCGTTAGGTTTAAAAAAGCCGGTACAAGCCACAAGATAGCGTGACCATAGAATCTCCAGTACCCGTTGTAATTGCAATCATTTTCGTGGAGAAGAAGTAAGCACGGAATCGGATTTTATTCGATCACGTTTTCGACAGGGATACACACCTATCTGTTTATTAGATTTCTTAACAGGTTGTAAGAAACCATCAAACGGGAACAGGAAATAGTAAATCAATTAATCCATTTGCTTTACTCCAAATTTAGATGATCGGGATAAAAGGAACCGAAAGTCGGAGGAGTGATAGAAAACCAACAGTCACACGCGCTCACGCACATTGGGGATGCTCCCTTTCCCATTAGTTAGAAAAACGTGCGGCTATCGTCAAACCAATTTGTTTTATCGCAAGTAAAACCAGAGTGAGAAACACTGGTTGGTTCCCGACAGTAAGCGTTCTGTACCGTCGTGATACCTCTGAGAATATTCATCACTTCCTCATTCGATTCCATTTGTGACCAGTCTTTATAACAACGAATGCTTTCCACTCCCGAACAGTGCATTCTAAGTATGCCCCCACCCCCACGGACAGAATGTTGTTCCGATAGAATTAACGAAATTATTCGCCAACCATTTCCAGCCGAATGTGTACGGGACGAACCAGTTGATGAACAAATGGACGTTGGTTCGAAGCACCCACCAGGAACTGAGCGAAATCAAAAAAACGTTTCGGACGTGATTCCAGTGCGGATCAAGGCTATCTCAGCGAGAAGAATGTACGGTCAACTTTCGTAGTTCAGTTTTCCTACAGACAACGACTCATCACAGCGAACCCTACTTGTATCCGCCGATCAGACGGGGCCAAACGATCAGGTTACTCGTATGAGTCCTTGTCCCACATTCACCAGGACCGATTCATCTTCGTTCGCTGCAATTATCCCAATTTACTTTTTCAAACGGTTTACACCCGATCGGGATCTGTAATCGTTTGGAAACATGCACCGTCAAAGACTTCTCTTCTCGCATTCAAACAGACAGACACACACACACGTGCAGAGAACCAATAGTATATCATTACCGAGAAATGTTAGCCACTGTATTCCCTATCTCCTAGGTCCTGATTATACTCGACTTGAAAAAAGTATTCCGAGATGATGGAAAAGTTATCATTGTTCATTTGAGTTTCACTTTCTATTCATTATGATTTGCACAAAAATCTGTTCAAACACAACTTACACCCTGTATCATGCAATGATCCAAAGTCCGCTCCTGACAAACCAAACACCTGACATGGTAACCATCGTTGACCCATCAAGGTGGATGTCATCTAATTTCAATAAACAGGAAATTGATTTATTTGAACAGCGACACTATTCACAATCCGGTCAACTGAAAAACTAACAAACAAAGACAAACCATTCTGAGTGTGGGATTAGATCTCATTTTGTGCATCCGATAAATATGTGTTTGCTACAGTTATTGACATTTCCCTTTCCCATATGACTGTAGTTTTGGTACGACTAGGTCGTTAGTTCCATTGTTGAATCCACAAGGCAAACAGTGAGCTGTTCAGTATTAATGCAGGCGAATTTGATGGTGGTGCTGGTAGTGATGGCGATGGTGTTGGTGATGATGGTTTTAGTGGTGATGGTGGTGGTGGTGGTGGTGGTGGTGGTGGTGACGGTGTTGGTGGTGATAGTGGTGGCGTTGGTGGTGGTAGTGATGGTGGTGGTGTTAGTGGTGGTGGTGGGGGTGGTGGTGACGATGGTGGTGGTGGTGGTTTTGGTGGTGGTGGTAGTGGTGTTGGTGGTGGTAGTGGTGGTGTTGGTGGTAGTGATGGTCAGACCGGTGTTTAGCACGACCAGTAAGATGATAAAGCGAAAAGGACACGGGAAATTGGACACAGTTCTCTATTTCTGTCTCGAAGCTCGGTCAACCCACTTACTACAAACATGCATGGAACTGTGTTGATCCACATGTTGACACATGCATTGATTTGTGCTAATCCTATCTTAGATTTTATGTGCATAACCCATTTTTAGGCGGCGAAGCGCGTGGC